ATTTAGACAGGTTAATAAGGAAGTTTTTATTTTAGTATAGTTTTTTTTTTTTTTTTTTTGCAGTTTTTGGCCAGGGCTGGGTTTGAACCCCCCACCTTCGGCATATGGGGCTGGTGCCCTACTCCTTTGACCCACAGGCACCGCCCTTTAGTATAGATTTTTTTGTTTCTTTTATTTTCTTGGGAAGTCTTTAAACATTTAAAAATTAACACGTAATAGTTGTATTTGTGGACTACATGTGATATTTTGATATATACAACGTATAATGATCAAATCAGGGTAATTGTGGTATTCATCACTTTGGACATTTTTCTTTGTGTTCAGAACATCACAACTCTTTTAGCTATTTTGAAATAAGTAATTATTGTCAACTATAATACTGTACTGTTAAATATTAGAACTTAGGCTTTCTACCTGCATTTTGTACGCTTACCAAATCTCCTCATTCTCCCTCACCCCCTTCCTTTCCCAGGCTTTGCTAAGCACCCTTCTACTCTCTAGCTCTGTGAGATCTACTTTTTTAGCTTCTACATGTGAGTGAGATCACATGATATTTGTCTTTTTGAGCCTGGCTTATTTCACTTAATATAAATGATCTCTGGTTCCATCCATGTTGCTGCATATAACAGGATTTCATTCTTTTATGTGACTGATTAATATTTTATTGTGTATATGTATCACATTTTCTTTATCCATTCATGTGTTTATGGGCACTTAGGTTAATTCCACGTCTTATCTATTGTGAATAGTGCTAGGGTAAACATGGGAGTGCAGATATCTTTTTGGTGTACTGATTTTCTTTCTTTTGGATATATACCGAACCTTGGGGATCATTGGATCATATAGTTGTTCTAATTTTAGTTTTTTGAGGAACTTCTATGCGCAACTGTTTTTCATAACGACAATACTACTTTACATTCCCATCAGCAGGGTACTCACATTTCCCTCTCACCACGTGCTTGCCAATATTTTTTTCTTTTTTTGGAGGGACAAGGTCTTCCTATGTTGCCTAGGCTGGTCATGTTTAGCCTCCAGAGTGCTGGGATTATAGGCGTGAGCTGTTACACCCGGCTTAATATTTGTTCTTTATTGTCCTTCCCCTGATAGCCATTTTAATTAGGTTGAGATGCTCTCAGTGTGATTTTGATTTGCTTTTCTCTGATGATTAATGATGTTGAGTGTGTTCTTATATACCTGCTCACCATTTGTATATGTTGAGAAGAAGTGTCTATTAAGGTCTGTTGCCCATTTTTAAATTAAGAGTTTTTTTGGGGGGGGGGTGCTATTGAGTTGTTTGAGGTTTTTTTTTTTTTTTTTTTTTTTTTAAGAGATGGGGTCTTGCTCTTGCTCTGTTGGTCTGAAACTTTTTTGCTTAAGCAGTCCACCCATGTTGACCCCCTCCAGAGTGCTAGGATTACAGGGGTGAGCCACCGCACCTAGCCTTTGTTTGAGTTTTTTATATATTCTGATTATTAATTCTTTGTTAGAGGGATAGTTTATAAATATTTTCTCCCATCTTGTAGGTTGTATTTTTACTATAGTGATTGTTTCCTTGCTGTGAATTGAAACACCTTTTTATATTGCATTTATTTCTACATTTAAGGTCAATTTTTACTTTGCATTAATTTCGAGGTCCTTAACCAAGCCATTTCTTCATTTTTTTTTTTTTTTTTTGAGACAGAGCCTCAAGCTCTCCCCCTGGGTAGAGTGCCATGGCATCACGCTCACAGCAACCTCCAACTCCTGGGCTCAAGCGAGTCTCCTGCCTCAG